CCCCAAAACCCCAAAACCCCAAAACCCCAAAACCCCAGTGTTTGCTGGCTTAATTGAAATTTTTATTCGTCAGGGAATTTAAAGACTTGCTTTGCAATCATCTTGTTTAAATCTCTATTTACTGGACTATAAGCATATCATTAAATAAATTAACAAGCGAATCCATACCGTTTCAAGTTCCCAGTGCCATGTTTAGAAGACACTGTTGTAGAGGCAGTTTTATGTGTGTCCATTCCTTTCAGTTTTACGAAAGAGTTCTATAACGTTGCTACTAATACTCACCTTTATCTGCTTCTTCCATTTGATTATAAAGCGGTTTTCCTCTTCGATGTAGTTCCTACACTCTCTCACACCTGTTGTAGAGTTGCTCTGTTTTAAAGGACTTAGCTTTTGGTTATAAAGCCCTTGACGACCTCTGGAGAGGGAACCAGTTCTGGGATGATCCCTTACTCTTTCCTCAGAATGAGGCCTATTTAGTGGCTTAAGGAGAGTCTTCTTTGACTTTGGAGGGAGCTCCTTTATGATGGGGTGATTGCTAGAGGTAAAGTTTGAAGAATTACTAGTCCTTAAGGTTATTTCCTAAAATCTTCTATATGCTGGTTCTCTTGGACATGTTCTTCTTGAATCTTGGTGTTATCATCAATCCGAGAATTTCTATTCTACAAAGGTAAGACAAGGGATTACTGATTGAGTATCTTCATCGTTATTTTCAATGTTATTGAAGATGTTCTGTATATTTCTGAATTCCTTGACTGTGGGTTCTTCTCTCTCCTTCTTAACAGATTGTTCGAAATCTTCTATGCTAGCCATGAGCATTTGTAAGACATCCTTCATGTACTGGACTAAAGTCTTGAATTTAATTTTAGAAAGGTCTATATTTAATCCCGACTCCTGGACATTTGAGTTGATGTATTGGTCGAACATTCTAGGGTTTTCTTCATATGCTTTCTTCTGAAGAGTCTTACTATGGCCCCTTAGACCAGAAATAACTGATTTATCATGCTCTGTAGATACAATACTGTTGGCTTTACTGCTTTCAGATCTTGGAGGTTTACTTTTAGGATTGATAATGCTAACCGATTTCTTCAAGTTCTTCTTATGAACTATGGCTAACTTGTTCTTAGACCCATAGTTCTTCTTGTTAGATTTTGACTTTGGCTTTGTCATTGAAAGTGGAGAATAACTAGCAGTTCTGTTGACAAAAGTTTCCTCAAGCTTAAGTTTCCTCTCAATCTCATTTACGATGGCTTTATTTATCAAGCTTCTTTTCATACTTGGTGGTGAACATGTTGACTAGATTTTTGATGTCAATAGGATATTCCACATCAGCGGCATCCTCTATTTTTCTAAGTTTGAAGGTGATTTGGTGGATAATTTCATTGAAGTATCCTTCTACATACAGCACAAATTGGCTTTTGTCATCTAAATATCAAAGAATCACGACTAACCAATGAGCTCACTAGGGATGACCTCTTCTTTGATCTTTAGTATTTTCTCTTGGCTAAAGATTAGATTTCAAATTACGCTAGGGAGTTTAGATTCAGACCCATCTGATCGAATTCATCTTGTATGTGCTTCAACTATAATTTAGATTATAGATGCTGTAATTTAGAGGGAGCAAAGACAGCTCTGATGTAATCGAGCAGAATATATACAGCTTTAAAGTAATTTTAGGCTAAATTGTTCCAGAATGGAATAACCTAGGGTCCATTAAGAGTATTTTAGGTGAAGAATTACCTCATTTCTCTGTCCAACAAGAGTCAGGTATTCCTTTTCTTTGACCACGATTTGCTCTGTGAGGCTTTTGTAGGAAGAGTCTATCTGAGTGGACATCGAGATTGAAGAATTGTATTTGGAGATAATAGAGCTAATTTCTTGGTTGTTAGAGGAAAGAGAGTAATTTTTCATCAAATTTAGCTGAGCATTCATGACCGTGCATCATTGATGTGTTTTCTTGTTGGTTGTTTCAGCCATTGATTTATTAAAGGATTCTTTGGAGATAGTCGTAGATTTATTTTTCCAAGGTTCTGTTGAAGATACCCATCCGAGGAAGGTTTTTAGGGACTTTGGAGTCTATAAATTTGTCAAAAAAATTTACCATCTTTTTGATGATTTGTTAATCATTTGAAGTTATTTCAAAGAAAATATAAATACACAACCTTCATCATCAAAGCTATGCTCTGTCATATCTTCCTCTAGCATCTTCGATGGCAAGGATGGGAAGTCATTAGATTTACAAAGTTTCAAAAACACCATCTTCAGGACTTCAAATTGTTCGACATGATGTAGCTCATCTACATCAGATATCTTCAAATTCTCCATGACTCTTAGGTACTCCTCTATCAAATGTACCATCTTGGCTTTATTAAGTATACTTATCTGTGTATTAGTGTCCTAAAAATGAATGTGTGAATTACCATGGGCTCTTCTTCCTCTTCCACGACTACATTATTACATCAGTGGCTTACTCTGATGTTGTACGTTGAAGTGCTTGAACCGTTCTTCCTGGGAGGACCTGTTCATCTGGTTGAGTCTTTTGTTGATCTTCTGGCACTCCTGTTCTAGCTCAACTAAGATCTGCCTCTTTTTGAAGATCAAGTCAACTTTGCTCTCTTTCATTACTTCTCTTTGGGAGTCAAGCACTGCCAACCCTAAGTTTATTAGTTGTTTAGAATTGGTCTTGATGAAATCTATTTTGTGGTCCTGCTCCTAGAGGAATTAGACAATTATGGGATACTAAAGTTGAAGTGAAATAAGCTGTTAAGATAAGAGCAACAAGAAACTTTGGTTAAATGAGGATCAATAGAATAATAATTGAGGAATAGACTTAAGAACACACAGAAGAGAAGCTCCACTAAATTGAACTCAAACTTCTATGTCTTAATCCCTCAACCCCCTGCATTCCTTCATATCACTTACATCAGCTGCTGCTTTATCAGAATCAGCTACAGCCAACTGGCTGTGCTGCACCAGCTGTTGCTTGATGATTTCAGTATTATGCTTGATGATTTTGATATGGGATTGACAACTGGATTTTATGTGGTTAAGAATAAGCTCTTCACAGTTAAGTTTTATGGTGTTTTGTTCCAGGTTTTTGGCTGAGGATTCTAGCTGGGAAATAGTCTCAGTGCTCTTGGCAATGTTATTTGTAAATTTTGGAGGAAGACGAGGGGGTTAGGGATGTAGTAGGATCGGCAGAAATTCCCATGATCTATAAGTTTTAGATTTTTGAGGTACTTTTCATTCTGATTTCAAATGATCCAGCTATCAAGTTAGATTTCTAAAACTTACTTGGTCCTGTTTCTGCTTGTTCTTGTAAATTAATTGGTTTAGTTGTTTCTGTAATAAAATAATGTTACTAATTCTCCTATAACAAGGAAACTAAAATTCTAGTTCTACACAAAGCTTCCTTAGCGTAGCTAAAGCCTAGCCTGGAATAGTTGTAGTAGGTTGATAAAGCAGCTTAATTAATCCTTCATTTGATAGATTCTCTCTTCGGCTGTTTCACTGTAAGCGCCTTACTCTATACTTGGAAAGAAGCTTCTCTGTTTTAGGGGATATATCTCTAGGCTTCTTGAGGTGACCTCGGTTGTCTTTGGTTCCTTTCTGATTGCTTTTCTTCTGTTCCTCTGAAGCTTTCTCTGAGTAAGGGTGCTTCTGCTTTGAAGCTAATTCTTGAAGCGTTCTGGAAGGATTTAGGAAAGTATTTACTTGGGATTGCTAGGAGGAGGAGTTTTATTTGCTCTTTTTAGCGGCGGTCTTGGGAAGAAGCTTGAATTTTGAAGGAACAAAAGGCTTTGTTTTGGTTGATTTATGGCTTTGTGGCGTCTTTTTGGGAGTTTTATAATCGCTTGGTGATTCTTTTTTGGGAGTCTGGTTTTTAGATTTTTGCTTCTGTTTTTCCTTTTTGGATTTTATTTGTTTGAAAGTGTTATTTTGTGTATATTTGTATGTCTCTTTCAAGCTCTTTGGATATCCTAAAGCTATATTATAGGAGCCTACTTTTCAGCTTCTGTTTCTTCATCATAATTATTAGATATTCTGTCATTAATATCTTGCTCTATAATAGGTAAATTAATTTCTTGATTATTTTAAGACACACATATTATCATTAAGGTTGTTCAGGAATGATATTTCCTTCGAAACATAGCCTTACCTTCACTATCTTCAAACTTTTTCATATTTTTTATTTTATAAACTTCCAACTGCGAAATTTATAAAGGGGTTTTGGGGTTTTGGGGTTTTGGGG